ATATGTGGAGGCTTACCAGATAAGAAGACCCCTTGTTATAGGGGGTCTAATAAGACTCTATATAGATGTAACTCCGTCCGATCCACTATGTGGTAACCGGGACCCAGATTCCACTTAGGTCAGTAAGCCATTCTCATAGCAGAACCAAGACAGCTTCCAAGATGGCGGACAGTGCGATGACGTCAGAGAGAGGCTCCGCCATCTTGGAAGCTGTATTTGAATGCTGATATTCCTTCTATGTTTTGCAAGCAGAATTTTACTTGCGCAGTAAAGGCACATTAGTTTTTTTACTGCACTAGGAGAGGCAAGTTTTATTCTACATGACACGGTCTTGGTTCTGCTATGAGAATGGCTTACTGATCCAAGTGGAATCTGGGTCCCGGTTACAACATAGAGGTTCGGACGGCGTTACATCTATATAGAGCTTTATTAGACCTCCTATAACAAGGGGTCTTCTTATCTGTGACTGCAATGTGCCCCTGTGCGCCCCCTAGACTGCAAGTGCACCCTGTATTTCCAAGAGAGCCCCTATGCATCCCATGTCATCTAGTGTCTCCCACTGCACCCCTGTGTACCCCCATGACTCTAGAGCACCCCTGTGCCTCCAAGAACACCCCTGTGTCTTTGATTGAGACCCTGTGCACCCCATGTCATCTAGTGACTCCCACTGCACCCCTGTGTACCCCCCATGACTCCAGTGCACCCCTGTGCCTCCAAGAACACCCCTGTGTCTTTGATTGAGACCATGTGCACCCCATGTCATCTAGTGACTCTCATCGTGCCCCTATGCACCCGCCATGACTCCAGCATGCTCCTGTGTCTACGACCGAATGGCTCAGCATTCAAGGACCAACTTTCTATGCTTTACCTGGGGCCCCTGCTGCTTTACAGTACCTTACCTTTATCCCTATGTCTCTTGTGCCTCCTTCCATCCTCTGGATAGTTTGGGGTCATCAAGTGTGCCCCTGTGACTCCAGGGCATCCCCATGACTCCAGTTTTCTCCTGTGTTCCCTAGACTCCAAGTGTGCCTTTGTGTACCCACTAGACTCCAAGTTTGACCCCATATCTCCAAGTGAGCCCCTGTCTGCCCCATGCCATCTAGTGACTCTCACTGTGCCCCTGCATACCCTCTGTGACTCCAGTGCACCCCCTAGACTCCAAGTGCATCCCCGTGTTTCCAAATGTGCCCCATGTCACCTAGAGATTCTCACTGTGCCCCTATAAAACCCCCATGATTCCAGTGTACCCCTGTGTCTCCAAGTGTGTCCCTGTGCACCCCTTAGACTCCAAGCGCATCTCCATGTTTTCAAATGTGCCCCATGTCACCTAGAGATTCTCACTGTGCCCCTATACAACCCCCATGATTCCAGTGTGCCCCAGTGTCTCCAAGTGTGCCCCTGTGAGCCCCCCTTAGACTCCAAGCGCATCTCCATGTTTTCAAATGTGCCCCATGTCATCTAGAGATTCTCACTGTGTCCCTTTGCAACCCTCATGATTCCAGTGTACCCCTGTGCCTCCAAGTGTGCCCCTGTGCACCCCTTAGACTCCCAAGTGCACACCCATGTTTCTCAGCATGCCCCATGTCATCTAGAGATTCTCACTGTGCCCCTATGCAACCCCCATGATTCCAGTGCGCCCCTGTGTCTCCAAGTGTGTCCCTGTGCACCCGTTAGACTCCAAGTGCACACCCATGTTTCCAAGCACGCCACATGTCATCTAGAGATTCCCACTGTGCCCCTATGCAACCCCCATGATTCAAGTGCGCCCCTGTGTCTCCAAGTGTGCCCCTGTGAGCCTCCTAGACATCAAGTCTAAAGTCAAAAGTACATTTCAGGTACCAAGCAAGAGGCGGACAATTCATTTTCTTCCTAACGTAGCCATAGTCTGAGAAGAAAAGCCTGTCCCCTGCCAGCAGCAGCAGAGAAGGACTCTTACTTCATGTTTGGAAGCAGCGGTCTCATTGTAGAGATCTACTACACCCCCCTCTGAGTCAAAACTAGAGTTCGTCAATCAACAGGGAGTGTGAGTTTTGCTGATTGCAGAGCTATAGCTAACAGTAAGGAGTGCATGCTCTTGAGCTTAGTGACATGATCCGATTGTAGTGATGCTGGAATTGGTGGGAGTTTCTCGCTTACCTGGTGCTTTCTAAGTTCATCCACATATCGGCTCATATCTCCCTCTGGGTGGCCATCTTTGTCTGCAAGGAGATAATGATTAATCACTGACAGAATATTGTGTGCAATGTACCTGCAATTCATAAATGACCTTCCATCTGCTGAAAGTAAAAGTTTACAGCTGACCTCCAGCCTACAGATCCTCTATAGAGAATGCAATGTATACAGATCCTCTACAGAGAATACAATGTATACAGATCCTCTAACAGAGGATACAATGTATACAGATCCTCTATATATAGAATACAATGTATACAGATGTATACAGAATACAATGTATACAGAGATACAGAGAATGTATACAGATCCTCTATATATAGAATACAATGTATACAGATCCTCTATATATAGAATACAATGTATACAGATCCTCTATATATAGAATACAATGTATACAGATCCTCTATATATAAAATGTATATAGATCCTCTACAGGGAATGAAATGTATACAGATCCTCTACAGAGAATACAATGTATACAGATCCTCTGTATATAGAATACAATGTATACAGATCATAGTTGCATAGTTACATAGTTAGTCTGGCTGAAAAAAAGACAAAAGTCAATCCAGTTCATACCATAAAAAAAAAAAAAAAGTTATAATCCTACACCCACGGTTGATCCAGAGGAAGGCGAAAAAACCCAAGCAAAGCATGATCTAATTTACTCCTGCAGGGAAAAAATATTCCTTCCTGATCCTGATTCCTGATGAGTTTACAGCTGACCTCCAGCCTACAGATCCTCTATAGAGAATGCAATCTATACAGATCCTCTACAGAGAATACAATGTATACAGATCCTCTTATAGAGGATACAATGTATACAGATCCTCTATATATATAGAATACAATGTATACAGATCCTCTACAGAGAATACAATGTATACAGATCGTCTACAGAGAATACAATGTATACAGATCCTCTATAGAGAATACAATGTATACAGATCCTCTATATATAGAATACAATGTATACAGATCCTCTATATATAGAATACAATGTATACAGATCATTCCTCTATATATAGAATACAATGTATACAGATCCTCTATATATAGAATACAATGTATACAGATCCTCTATATATAGAATACAATGTATATAAGATCCTCTATATATAGAATACAATGTATACAGATCCTCTATATATAGAATACAATGTATACAGATCCTCTACAGAGAATACAATGTATACAGATCCTACAGAGAATACAATGTATACAGATCCTCTACAGAGAATACAATGTATACAGATCCTCTACAGAGAATACAATGGTATACAGATCCTTACAGAGGAATACAATGTATACAGATCCTCTACAGAGAATACAATGTATATCAGATCCTCTATAGAGAATACAATGTATTACAGATCCTCTATAGAGAATACAATGTATACAGATCTCTCTATAGAAAATACAATGTATACAGATTCCTCTACAGAGAATACAATGTATACAGATTGTCTATAGAGAATGCAATGTATACAGATCCTCTATAGAGAATTCAATGTATACAGACACTCTATATATAGAATACAATGTATACAGATCGTCTATATATAGAATACAATGGATACAGGATCCTCTATATATAGAATACAATGTATACAGATCCTCTATTTATAGGAATACAATGGATACAGATCCTCTACAGAGAATACAATGTATACAGATCCTCTACAGGGAATGCAATGTATACAGATCCTCTGTATATAGAGAATACAATGGATACAGATCCTCTGTATATAGAATACAATGTATACAGATCGTTATAGATCCTATAGAATACAATGGATACAGATCCTCTACAGAGAATACAATGTATATAGATCCTCTACAGGGAATGAAATGTATACAGATCCTCTACAGAGAATACAATGTATACAGATCCTCTACAGGGAATGCAATGTATACAGATCCTCTACAGAGAATACAATGTATACAGATCCTCTGTATATAGAATACAATGTATACAGATGTATTATAGAATACAATTTATACAGATCATAGTTGCATTAGTTACATAGTTAGTCTGGCTGAAAAAAAGACAAAAGTCAATCCAGTTCAACATATAAAAAAAAAAAAAAAGTTATAATCCTACACCCACGGTTGATCCAGAGGAAGGCGAAAAAAACCCAGCAAAGCATGATCTAATTTACTCCTGCAGGGAAAAATATTCCTTCCTGATCCCCCGAGAGGCAATCGGATCTTCCCTGGATCAACTTTCCCTATAAATGTTTATCCAGTTATATTCTGTGTATCCAAGAAACAATCCAGGATTTTCCTACAGCAATCCACTGAGCTGGCCACACCCAACTCTGGAGGGAGTCTATTCCACATTCTCACAGCTCTCACTGTGAAGAAACCTTTCCGTGTTTGGAGATTACATTTCTTTTCCTCCATAGGAAACCATGTTAAATGGACTGTAGTGCGTTTCTGCAAAAAGGCACTAAAACACGCATCTTTGTGAAAGGAGACTTATGTAGGGTGGCCTGCATGCAAATGTAGCTTGCCTAGAAACATGGCTCAGCATCCAATCAGTTGCTACGCTTTAGCTGAACCCTGGTTTAAATAAACTTCTCTTGCACAGTCTGAGATTTCATTGGTTGTGCATTCTGCTGTCGTACAATTCTCGATTATTCTCAATATTCACCGTACACCCCACTACCTTTCCTGTAACACACAGATATGTGAATACACAAAAGCTACACAGCTGTGAAATTTACTACAATACAGCTGCAGGAAGTTCTATACAAATTTCATCCTACAGATGACAGGTCCTCTTTGATTGTAGACAGATTGACTGTGTGGGCAGTTTGGGCTCACTTACCTTCACAGGACATGGCGGTGCACACCCAGTTCCCGCAGGCGCATACACAGCGGTTACACTGCACCTGGGTCTCCGCTCCGTCTTCATACTTCTCATCCTCCAGGGCACACTCTGTAAGACAACACCAGAGAGTGACATATCTGATCTTCCAGATCCCCACAGTCCATGTTCCCCTTTAGATCAAACTCCCCCCTTAGATCAGAATCCTTCCTTCGATCAGTGAATCTTAGATCAGAAGTTCCCTCTTGGATCAGGAATCTCCTGCTTAGATCAGTGATCCCTTTACTCCCTTAGATCAGGATACCCCCTCCCCTTAGATTTGGAATTCCTCCTTTAGATCAAGCTCCCCGCTTAGATCAGGAGTCCCCCCTTAGATCAAAGTTCCCTCTTGGATCAGAAATCCACTTAGAGTAAAATATCCTGCTTAGATCAGTGATCCTTTTACTCCCTTAGATCAGAATACCCCCCTCCCCTTAGATTTGGAATCCCCCTTTAGATCAAGCCCCCCGTTTAGATCAGGAGTTCCCCCCTTAGATCAAAGTTCCCTCTTGGATCACAAATCCACTTAGAGTAAAATCTCCTGCTTAGATCAGTGATCCATTTACTCCCTTAGATCAGAATACCCCCCTCCCCTTAGATTTGGAATCCCCCTTTAGATCAAGCTCCCCCCTTAGATCAGGAGTTCCCCCTTAGATCAAAGTTCCCTCTTGGATCAGAAATCCACTTAGAGAAGAATCCCCTGGTTAGATAAGTGATTCCTGTACTCCCTTAGATCAGGATACCCCCCCCTTAGATTTGGAATCCTCCTTTAGATCAAGCTCCCCGCTTAGATCAGGAGTCCCCCCTTAGATCAAAGTTCCCTCTTGGATCACAAATCCACTTAGAGTAAAATCTCCTGCTTAGATCAGTGATCCTTTTACTCCCTTAGATCAGAATACCCCCCTCCCCTTAGATTTGGAATCCCCCTTTAGATCAAGCTCCCCCCTTAGATCAGGAGTTCCCCCTTAGATCAAAGTTCCCTCTTGGATCAGAAATCCACTTAGAGAAGAATCCCCTGGTTAGATCAGTGATCCCCTTACCCCTTAGAGCAGAATTTTCCCTTAGATCAGGATACCCCCCTCCCCTTAGATTTGGAATCCCCCTTTAGAGCAGAAGTCCCTCTTAAACATTTGTCTGTCCCTCCTACAGACTTTCGCATTGTATGTACTGGCATGCCCCCATCAGGCACCAACTGCCTACAAGTCCATCCACCCTTGGCAGGGGCACAGCTTTGACCATCTGCGCTATCCTCCTGCTTTATTGTAGACTGTAGCTGGGCCCCTTTTGATACCCATGGGCTCCTTGGTTCCAGCCTAGGTTACTTAATGGATGACCTGACTCTGGTCCATCACTATGGTTTTGGAGGTAGCCAGGGCTTTTTTTGAGCGGTAATGCGGGAAGGGGGGGGGGGGGGGGGCGCAGTTCCGGAACCTCCAGAACCTCCAGCAATGAATGTATGTAATGGCAAGGGGTTCTGAGGTGTGCTAGAGGGTCTATTGATGCTCGAGGAGCTATTGTTGCTGGGAGGTTGATTGGTGCTGGAAGGGATCTATTGTTGAGGGAGGGGTCTATTGTTGTTGGCTGCTGGAGGGTTTATTGATGCTGGCTGCTCTGAGATCTATTGTTGCTTGGAGGGTCTATTTTTGCTGTTGTGGATCCAGTTCTAGAACAAGGTTGTCCGGCTCCCAGGTCAAGGATCCAGAACTGCAACCCCTTCCCCCACTGTTATTACATGCGTAGAATGGGTGTACCACCCTGCATCCATTCTTTGCCCCCTAGTTTCACTGTGCCCAGGACAGCTGCCCCTCTTGCCCACCCCTTGTCCTGGCCCTGTGTGGGTCTATTGTTGCTGGATAGGGTCTATTGATGCTGGGGGATGTGTTTTTGAAAGTGGGGTGTATTGTTGCTGGTTGCAGGGAATCAATTTTACAGCTTATCATCAAAATTCCATACAAATTACTTAGCACCAAAAATGAAACTTGGTTCTGTATTCTTTAAGAGAGGCTTACTGGGAGGTGGACAGGAGGTAGAATCAAGGGACGGTGCTCGGAGGTGGGTCTGGGGTAAGGAAATTTCCTGCACCTACTCTCTGAGAAAAAAAGCCCTGGATGAAGCACCCTCCTAGTGTAATGAGTGGCAGGCGTGGATTGATTAGGGCTGCTCAATGTTTCACAGGCTGCTGCTCTCTCACTTCCCCCCGTCTTCTAGAGAATTCTAGAATATTGTGGGAGTCTGCAGCCTGAATATTTATGGAACTTCAGCCAATCCCTGACAAGGTGTACTCAGATGGTGGTGAGAGAGCCCATAAATAGTTTGAGGCCTGAGCAGCAGGGACAGTGCTCCCCTGGGAGTGCGCAGCACCGCAATCCGGTGCCCGCTGTGTCCTCCGGACACAGTGGAACACCGATCGTCAAACGGGACCTCTCTGGCCAATCAGTGATCACATGCAGAGTAGTAAGCAAGATGTCACTCCTGACATCATTGCTTACTACGTGTGAAATCTGTGAATGATCACAGAGATCACATGGTACAGGGCTATTCACAACAGACTTGTAACATGTGACAAGCTGTGACCAATCACAGCTCACACAGTATTTCTCAATGGCTGCAGGAATGCAGCCAGAGAGAAGGAGAAATTATTGCTTTTACAGCCTATATGGGTGTAAAAGCAATCAGTGTAAAAAAAAAAGAAAAAAATCTTCATCACCCCCCACAAGTAGTACAGTGTCGCCATGGTGACAATGTACTGCTAGGGTGACAGTATGTAAAAAAAAACAAAAAAAACAAATAATATAAAAAAATAAAAATGTAAAAAAAATGTTTAAAAATTATAATTTTTGGTTATAAACCAATTTGGGCTTTTTTTTTTTTTTTTACTAAAAAGATAACGGAAAAAATGTTGGCCAAGATTTATGATGAAATATTATTTATTTGCAAAATTTTATCAGAAAAACACTTTTTTTCAAAATTTTTGGACTTTTTCATTTACATAGCAAAAAAAAAAAAAAATCCCAGCGGTGAATAAATACCACCAAAATAAAGCTTTATCTGTCTCAAAAAAATGCTAAAAGATTCATATGGGTACAGTGTTGCATGACCGCGCAATTGTCATTCAATGTGTGATAGCGCTGAAAGCTGAAAATTGACCTGGACAGGAAGGGGGGGAAAGTGTCCGGACCGGAAGGGGGGGAAAGTGTCCGGACCGGAAGGGGGGGAAAGTGTCCGGACCGGAAGGGGGGGAAAGTGTCCGGACCGGAAGGGGGGGAAAGTGTCCGGACCGGAAGGGGGGAAAGTGTCGGGACCGGAAGGGGGGGAAAGTGTCGGGACCGGAAGGGGGGGAAAGTGTCGGGGGACTGGAGGGGGGGGGGAAAGTGTCGGGACCGGAAGGGGGAGGAAAGTGTCGGGACCGGAAGGGGGGGAAGTGTCGGGACGGAAGGGGGGGAAGTGTCGGGACCAGAAGGGGGGGAAAGTGTCGGGACCAGAAGGGGGGGAAAGTGTCCGGACTGGAAGGGGGGGGGAAAGTGTCGGGACCGGAAGGGGGGGAAAGTGTCCAGACCGGAAGGGGGGGGGAAAGTGTCGGGACCAGAAGGGGGGGAAAGTGTCGGGACCGGAAGGGGGGGAAAGTGTCGGGACCGGAAGGGGGGGAAAGTGTCGGGACCGGAAGGGGGGGAAAGTGTCGGGACCGGAGGGGGGGAAAGTGTCGGGACCGGAAGGGGGGGAAAGTGTGTCGGGACCGGAAGGGGGGGAAAGTGTCCGGACCGGAAGGGGGGGAAAGTGTCCGGACCGGAAGGGGGGGAAAGTGTCAGGACCGGAAGGGGGGGAAAGTGTCCAAACCGGAAGGGGGGGAAAGTGTCCGGACCGGAAGGGGGGGAAAGTGTCAGGACCAGAAGGGGGGGAAAGTGTCCGGACTGGAGGGGGGGGGGGGAAAGTGTCCGGACTGGAGGGGGGGGGAAAGTGTCGGGACCGGAAGGGGGGGGAAAGTGTCGGGACCAGAAGGGGGGGAAAGTGTCGGGACCAGAAGGGGGGGAAAGTGTCGGGACCGGAAGGGGGGGGGGAAAGTGTCGGGACCGGAAGGGGGGGAAAGTGTCGGGACCGGAAGGGGGGGAAAGTGTCGGGACCGGAAGGGGGGGGGAAAGTGTCGGGACCGGAAGGGGGGGAAAGTGTCGGGACCGGAAGGGGGGGAAGTGTCGGGACCGGAAGGGGGGGGAAGTGTCGGGACCGGGAAGGGGGGGAAGTGTCCGGACTGGAGGGGGGGGAAAGTGTCGGGACCGGAAGGGGGGGAAAGTGTCCAGACCAGAAGGGGGGGGAAAGTGTCGGGACCGGAAGGGGGGGAAAGTGTCGGGACCGGAAGGGGGGGAAAGTGTCGGGACCGGAAGGGGGGGAAAGTGTCGGGACCGGAAGGGGGGGAAAGTGTCGGGACCGGAAGGGGGGGAAGTGTCGGGACCGGAAGGGGGGGAAAGTGTCGGGACCAGAAGGGGGGGAAAGTGTCCGGACTGGAGGGGGGGGGAAAGTGTCGGGACCGGAAGGGGGGAAAGTGTCCAGACCGGAAGGGGGGGGAAAGTGTCGGGACCAGAAGGGGGGGAAAGTGTCGGGACCGGAAGGGGGGGAAAGTGTCGGGACCGGAAGGGGGGGAAAGTGTCGGGAACGGAAGGGGGGGGAAAGTGTCGGGACCGGAAGGGGGGGAAAGTGTCGGGACCGGAAGGGGGGGAAAGTGTCGGGACCGGAAGGGGGGGGAAGTGTCGGGACCGGAAGGGGGGGAAAGTGTCTGGACTTGAAGTGGTTAAGGTGTGTGCTACATGGGTAGGAAGTCTAGTAACATTATTACACAGTGGCTAAATGGTTAGCACTTCCCCCTGGCAGTACTCGGGTCGTTGGTTTCAATCCCAACCCCGGCACCACCTGCCTGGAGTTTGCATGTTCTCCCTGTGACTGCTTGAGTTTCCTCCCACACTCCAAAGACATGCTGGTAGGTGAATTGGATCCCGTCTAAATTGTCCCTAGCATGTGCATGTATGAATGTAAGTTAGGGACCTTAGATTGTACGCCCCTTGAGGGTTAGGGACCTTAGATTGTACGCCCCTTGAGGGTTAGGGACTGATGTGAATGTACAATATATGTATGTAAAGCGCTGCGTAAATTGACGGCGCTATATAAGTACCTGAAATAAATAAATAATAAATTACATAAAATTCCTGGCTACATACTTTTCTCCGGAGGGTTGAAGCTGGGGTTCAGGCACTTCAGGAACTCGTTAAAGTTCAATTTCCAGTCTGCATTCTCATCCGACAGTTCAATAAGAGCCTCCACGCACAGACCCCTGAGAGAGACAACCACACACACGGGTCAGTACCGGTCCAGTACCGAGACTACTGGTAAACAATACAATTCTAAGAAACTAAGCAAAATAAAACACAATCCAGGTACAGGTTACAATAAAACGCTCAAATTACAGGGTCCGTCCACCAAAAACGATTATTTCACTTTTCGCCTGGTCCAGGGGCGGACTGACCATTTGGAAACTCGGGCACCGCCCGAGGGCCCAGGGTCAGTAGGGGGCCCCATGAGATGCTCCTGGTACCTTTTTCATAGGCTTTTTTTAAATTTGGGCAAGGACACAGGGGCCCCATGATCCCCTATTGCCCGGGGGCCCCATAAGTTGTCAGTCCGCCCCTGGTCTGGTCAACTCAATTTGATGAGATCTCTGTAAAGGCCTGCGACCCCTCGGTGCCCATTATGAGGGGTTCCCCTATTGCTACTGGATATCTATTTATTTTCTAGAAAGGAGAATGAAATCGGAGGGGGAGGAACACACAAAAATGGGCAGAAACACCCAAAATTTCCAAGTGAACAGAATTTTTAAAAAGTGGATCAGAATTTGAAAAACAAATGAAAAAAGGCTGCAATATGGAACTCTGTATTCACTGTCAGGGGCGGACTGATCATTCCGGCACTCGGGCACTGCCCGAGAACCCGGCTCAGTAGGGGGCCCCATGAGTGGTACCTTTCATAGGCTTTTTTGGGTTTGGGCGAGGACACAGGGGCCCCATAATCCCCTATTGCCTGGGGGCCCCATGAGTTGCCAGTCCGCCCCTGTTCACTGTCATTGTGGTGCCGGATTGTAATACGTTTCTATCTGTCTCAGACTCTCACTTCAGAATCTTGTTGGCCTCCTGGTCCTGGTAGGTGGTGACGTTAATGGCGGTCTGGTTCTGTTCCAGGAACTTCAGGAATTCGGCAGAGTCCAGGCGGGAGTCGCCATCGTCGTAGTTCTGTAATAGCAGAGATATTTATGTTATTCCAGGGCCGGTATGTTGTCCCCGACAGGATAGCAGACTTACATCCACATAGATCGCGGTCTACAAATACTCTCTGGGGGGCATTTACTAAAGGCAGATAGAGTGTGCGCTTTGCTGCGCAGTTGCCCCAGAGATTAGTAAATGAGAAGAAGTTTCACTTGGCAAGGAACACCCAATCACAAGCAAGGAAAAAAAAATATTTTGCTTGCACATGATTGGATGATGGAAGCCAGCAGAGCTGCACCTCATTTACTAGACTCTAGAGCAGCGGCCTCCAGACTGCGGCCCGGGGACTGTATGCCGGACCTGCTTTGGGCCTTGTTCCTGCCTCTGATACTGACAACAGGTCATTATTCCTCCCACTGACACCAATGATGGGGCACTATTCTTCCCACTGACACCAATGATGGGGCACTATTTTTCCCACTGACACCAATGATGGGGCACTATTCCTCCCACTGATACCAATGATGGGGCACTATTCCTCCCACTGACACCAACGATGGGGTACTATTTCTTCTACTGACACCAACGATGGGGCACTATTCCTCCCCCTGACACCAATGTAGGACCACTATTCTTCCCACTGACACCAATGTAGGACCACTATTCTTCCCACTGATACCAATGATGGAGCACTATACCTCCCACTGACACCAATGATGCAGCACTATTCCTCCCACTGACACCAATGATGGAGCACTATTCCTCCCCCTGACACCAATGATGGAGCACTATTCCTCCCCCTGACACCAATGATGGAGCACTATTCCTCCCCCTGACACCAATGATGGAGCACTATTCCTCCCCCTGACACCAATGATGGAGCACTATTCCTGCCCCTGACACCAATGATGGAGCACTATTCCTGCCCCTGACACCAATGATGGGGCACTATTTTTCCCACTGACACCAATCCCACTATTCCTCCCACTGACACCAATGATGGGGCACTATTTCCTCCCACTGACACCAATGATGGGGCACTATTCCTCCCACTGACATCAATGATGGGGCACTATTCCTCCCACTGACACCAATGATGGGGCACTATTCCTCCACTGACACCAATGATGGGGCACTATTCCTCCCACTGACACCAATGATGGGGCACTATTCCTTCCACTGACACCAATAATGGGGCACTATTCCTCCCACTGACACCAATGATGGGGCACTATTCCTCCCACTGACACCAATGATGGGGCACTATTCCTCCCACTGACACCAATAATGGGGCACTATTCCTCCCACTGATACCAATGATGGGACACTATTCCTCCCACTGACACCAAGGATGGGCCGCTGTTTACTCCCGCTGACACCAGGACATTTTCTAATCCCGCTGGCCACAGTCCGACCCACCTAAAATTTGAAGGACAGTAAACTGGCCCTTTGTTTAGAAATTTTGGAGACCTCTGCTCTAGAACAACTGCACTGCAAAGTGTACAGACTATTTGCCTTTAGTAAATCAATCCTCCTGTGTCTCAATGGGGAGATTTCCTCTCATTTCCTGTTTAACTAGTTGCTGATCGCAGATAGCCGAATGACGGCTGCACTGCGGCCGGTCAGTTCTGGGTGGGCGTCATATGACATCCCCCCAGAACGAGCTCTCCTGTGCGCCCCCGGCGATCTCCATGATTGCTGTGTCCGTAGGACACAGCTGATCACGTGATGTGGTAAAAGGACAATCACAGCGGCCTTTTACCATGTGATCAGCGGTGTCCAATGACACGCTGATCACAGGGAAATGCAATTGCCGATTCTCGGCTGCACTTACCTCATGCTGTCAGAGCGTGAGGAAAGTACTGCCGAGAACTGGCAGTTGTCAGAGAAGGGATTGGCACCAATCATCAGGGCACTGATAATCAGTGCCCTGATGATCGGTGCCCAGCAGTGCCACCCACCAGTGCCGCCCACCTGTGCCCATCAGTGCCGCCCACCTGTGCCCATCAGTGCCGCCCACCTGTGCCCATCAGTGCCACCCACCTGTGCCCATCAGTGCCGCCCAGCAGTGCCGCCCAGCAGTGCCACCCACCAGTGCCCACCAGTGCCACCCACCAATGCCCATCAGTGCAGCCCAGCAGTGCCGCCAGTCAGTGCCCAGAAGTTGTGCCAGTCAGTGCCCAGCAGTGCCATCCATCTGTGCCCAGCAGTGCCACCCACCTGTGCCCACCAGTGCCACCCACCAGTGCTGATCAGTGCAGCCCAGACGTGCCGCCAGTCAGTGCCCAGCAGTGCCACCAGTCAATGCCCAGCAGTGCCACCAGTCAGTGCTGCCTATCAGTGCCGCCTATCAGTACTCATCATCAGTGCCACCTATCCGTGCCACCTCATTACTGCCGCCTATCAGTGCCCATCAGTGCTGCCTATCAGTGCAGCCTCATCAACACACATCAGTGAAGGAGAAAAATTACCTGTTTGCAAAATTTTATAATAGAAACAAAGAAACTTTTTTTTTTTTCAAATTTTTTGCATTTTTTTGTTTATAGCACAAAAAGTAAAACCCACAGAAGGGAGTAAATACCACCAAAAGAAAGCTCTATTTGTGAGAAAAAAATGATAAAAATTTAATATGGGTATAATGTTGCATGACCGCGCAATTGTCATTCAAAGTGCGACAGCGCTGAAAGCTGAAAATTGGCCTGGTAAGGAAGGGGGTATAAGTGCCCGGTAGGCAGGAAGGGGGTATAAGTGCCCGGTAGGCAGGAAGGGGGTATAAGTGCCCGGTAGGCGAGGGGTTAAGAGACATAACAGGAAGTCAGAGGAAATCTCTCCAAAGGGAAAGTTGCCCTTGCAGTGGGTGAGTGCAGTGCAGTGCTTGCAGGGGTTTTCTCTAGGGGTAACATATAAAGCAGATTTATTATCCCCCAGCTGCTTCTCGTTGGTCTCAGCCATTCCGGCGTCATCACCTACAATAAAAGAGCAACAGTCTTGCACTGTAAATGAGGACCCCAAGGGCCCATCCATAGCCTGGAGCATCGGAGAGTAGACGAGAGCGGCAGCTGTCAGGGGAGCTAGGGATAGAAAAGTACAACTGCTGTTCATGTTCCCCCTGGACCAAAATGAACACTTAACCCTTGCAGTGCACTGTATGGGTATCATTTGGTTTTCTGCTTGAATCATCTACTGGGCAGTTGTCACCAGATCAGGCGTCCCCCTAGGAAGATTTCCCATCACTTCCTGTCTGGAAGAGACAACAGGAAGTGAGAAGCAATCTATCTCTAAGAGTGAGATCCACTATGACAACTGTCATTGGAACAATTATCTCCACTGAAAGATTTGCCTTCTATTCCTGTTTTGGGGTCAACTGTAAAATTTTGTATCTCCTTTAATTTGTTGGCAATGGTCACCAGGAAAAATAAGTCACCCAGTAGGGAGGAATATTGAGGAATATTGCGTACAGGAAGTGAATAGTTCACTTTCATTTGGCGGTCAAGTAATTACAGACTCTTTCACAGTCCTCACAGGCCGGAGGCCTACACATATCTCCAGGCAGACGCATCCTGCTCTGTTCTCAAGTGCTGGTTGCCATGGTGATGGAATGTGATCTACAGCACCACACATAAAAAGGCTTTATCTGCCACTAGGCCTCGGCCTGTAACCCTTTCGCACCCAAGAGGCCTCAGATAAGAACCTCTGCCAAATAAACAGGAATAGGCCTCAAATAAGAGCCCGAGCCTAATAAACATAAATAGCTCTCAAATAAGAGCCTAGGCCCCGTAACAGGAATAGACCTGAAATAAGGACCAGGACCCAATAAACAGGAAGAGGTCTCAAAAAGGAGCCTGCCCCACCAATAAACAGGATTAGGCCACAAATAAGAGAGCAGGCTCAATAACAGGACTAGACCCCAGTTCAGGCCTAAAAAAACAGGAACAGGCCTTAAATAAGAGTCTGTGTCCATTCAACAGGAATAGGCTTCAAATAAGAGCCTGGGTCCAATAACAGAAACAGGCATCAAATAAAAGACCAGGCCCAATAAAAAGAAATAGGCCTCAAATAAGAGCCCGTGCCCCAATAAACAGAAATAGGCCTCAAATAAGAGCCTGTACCCAATAAACAGAAATAGGCCTCAAATAAGAGCCTGTACCCAATAAACAGAAATAGGCCTCAAAAAGGAGCCCATGCCCACTAAACATAAATAGGCCTTAAATAAGATAAGGGATAGAGAGGGGCACCAGACTAAGTGCAGTATTAAACAATCATTTATTGCACACAATTGTATGTACCTCACAAGAGGTAAGTAGTTAGCAGGCATGGGTACATAGGGACATCGCCCAGAAGAGGTTCCAGAGGCAGAGAAGATGGGGTAGATGGGCATCTGGGAGCCACGGCTGTGGTGAAAGCCAGGTCTCCTGACTCACATCAAGTCCTCTGCAGCGTGTGTAGGCTGTGTCTCGTGTATAGAACCAGACTGGAACGCAAGATGGCAAATAAGAGCCTGTGCCGAATAAACAGGAATAGGCCTCAAATAAGAGTCCAGGCCCAATAAACAGGAATAGGCCTCAAATAAAAGCCTGTGCCCAATAAACAGGAATAGGCCTCAAATAAGAGTCCAGGCCCAATAAACAGGAATAGGCCTCAAATAAAAGCCTGTGCCCAATAAACAGGAATAGGCCTCAAATAAGAGTCCAGGCCCAATAAACAGGAATAGGCCTCAAATAAGGGCCTGTGCCCAATAAACAGGAATAGGCCTCAAATAAGAGTCCGGGCCCAATAAACAGGAATAGACCCCAGATAAGAGACCAGGCCCAATAAACAGGAATAGACCCCAAATAAGAGTACAGGCCCAATAAACATGAATAGGCCTCAAATAGGAACCGGGAACCAATAAACAGGAGTAGGCCTCAAATAAGAGCCCAGGTCTAATTAACAGGAACAGACCCTGTAACAGATCCAACCGGAACAGGGTCCTTTGTTGTTGCCAGCAAGCTGGAAGATCTCAGCCATTAGATACTCCAAGATGGCAGCCAGGTAGACGGGAGCTCTGGCCCCGACCTGCTGGACATAGTTGCCCTTCCTGAGCAGGCGGTGAACTCGACCGACTGGGAACTGCAGACCAGCCTAGGATGATCGAGTTTTGGCCTTAGACCGAGCCTTGCCCCATTGTTTACCACATTCTGACATGATTACAGCACTAAATCCGGGACAGGGTCTTTCACAGACCCCAAATAAACAGGAATAGACCCCAAATAAAAGAGTCCAGGCCAAAGAAACAGGAATAGGCCTCAACTAAGAGCCCAGGCCCAATAAACAGAAATAGGCCTTGAATATGAGCCTGGGCCTAATTAACAGCAAAAGGCCTCATATGGGAGCCTGGGCTCAATAAACAGGAATAGACCTCAAATAAGAGCTCAGGCCCAGTAAACGGGAATAGACCTCAAATAAGAGTCCAGGCCCAGTAAACGGGAATAGGCCTCAAATAAGAGCCCGGGCCCAGTAAATAAGAATAGGCCTCAAATAAGAGCCCGGGACCAGTAAATAAGAGTAGGCTTCAAATAAGAGCCCGGGCCCAGTAAATAAGAGTAGGCTTCAAAATAGAGCATGGTCCCAGTAAATAAGAGTAGGCCTCAAATAAGAGCCCTGGCCCAGTAAATAAGAGTAAGCTTCAAATAAGAACCTGGGCCAGTAAATAAGAGTAGGCCTCAAATAAGAGCCCAGCCCAGTAAATAAGAGTAGGCCTCAAATAAGAGCCCGGGCCCAGTAAATAAGAGTACGCTTCAAATAAGAGCACGGGCCCAGTAAATAAGAGCCCGGGCCCAGTAAATAAGAGTAGGCCTCAAATAAGAGCCCAGCCCAGTAAATAAGAGTACGCTTCAAATAAGAGCACGGGCCCAGTAAATAAGAGCCCGGGCCCAGTAAATAAGAGTAGGCTTCAAATAATAGCTCAGGCTCAGTAAATAACAGTAGGCCTCAAATAAGAGCCCCGGGCCCAGTAAATAAGAGTAGGCTTCAAATAAGAGCCCCGGGCCCAGTAAATAAGAGTAGGCTTCAAATAAGAGCCCCGGGCCAGTAAATAAGAGTAGGCTTCAAATAAGAGCCCCGGGCCCAGTAAATAAGAGTAGGCTTCAAATAAGAGCCCCGGGCCAGTAAATAAGAGTAGGCCTCAAATAAGAGCCCGGGCCCAGTAAATAAGAGTAGGCTTCTGTACTGTCCTTCTGCAGTGTGGACAGGGTTAAACTGAATATTCATTAATGCAGAAGTGCAGCAGCCATCTTTAGTGAGACCACTTTGTAATGCTCATCTGTGGAGTGTCTCCAGTGCTTGAGCAGTCATCTTGGCTGGGTCTGGAGCAACCCGAAAGACAGTGATTGACTGATGTAACAGAGTAAGGAGAAGTGTGGTCTGAAGGCTGAAGAGAAGAGGGGAGAGGACAGGCTTGAAACCAGAGACAGGCCAGAGTGCCTATCTCTGTAGCAGAGCGGCACAATTTTCACTGCTACCCCCACCTTCCCACCTGTCGCTGTTTATTTTCTGACATCGACACTATTTCTCAGCATTGACAACCTCAATGTTAAGAAAAATTGGTCCTGCTGTATTTTTTGCAGCACAAAGATATGTCGGGATGACAATGTAATGTAAGACAATAGAATGTGGCATTCTATTGGCTGCTGAGCCCCCCCCCCCCCCTTTGAACTTGAATTCCCATTCATACAGGCGCCATGATTATTCTTTTTTTTTTTAATAAAAACCATTGCACAGCATTGCCCGTATCAGAATTGTATATGCTGGATGACGACTTGCCCGTTGGCATCGAAGGCTGTTAATGGCCTTGACTATGTAACATAAATGTATTGTTACCATGGCAATGCCAGAGCGCAGCCGCTGGAATTTATTTCTTTCTACAGAAAAAAAAAAAACGGAAATCCCGCAGTGACCGCGATAAATCAATTTTCAGGAGTTACATAATAAATCCGCTGATGTATAATTAATTAGACTTCAATCGAATAAAGAGGCCAGGAATGAGAGCGGATCGTCGTCATTAATCATGTCAATAGGGCCCCTTCACACTTGTCCATCTCCCCGCAGCATACGCTTTACTACAAAAAAAGCGCAGATCAAGCAGAAATCCTGGTCGCTCCCGTGTGCCGAGATGATTAAAATCAGGAAAGGAAGAATTTCTCTCCATTAGGTGCATGAAGCGGACACATTGAAATGAATGGTATCAATACATGATGATGATGAAAAGCTCCATTCTGAATGTTTCCTCTTTACTTTGTATTTTGTTTTGTCCATTCATTATACAGTGTAAAAAAAAAAAAAAAAAAAAAAAACACACAAAAACACAAATAAAAACATCTCTACTTCTGTCTGTGCTGCTGTTGGAGAAATTTCCCCTCACTTCCTGTCCTGGGGACAACCTTTGCATCAGACAAAAAGTGAAGAATTCTTTCCAATGGAGCCTCTGACGGCGTTAGACCCGGACGGGAATTCTAATCCTCCCCTACAATCTAAAATCAGAAACGTCCCGGGTACAGACACTTGAAACTATAAAGAATTGACTATTTTGTGTTACTTTGTAACATTTTGGGGGTAAAAGGAGGAATAGTGTGAGAGTTTTAGGGAACGGTTAAGATGACAGGGAGGGTTAGGGTTAAGTGAAGAGTTAATGTTAGAGGTAAAGGCAGGGCTGCTGTTAGAAGCCACGGGGCCCCGTACAGCTAATGTGACAGGGCCCCCAAATAAACACAGTTTACTATGCTTCAGTTATGAATGAACACAGGGAGTGATTGGTACCAATCACTCAGGAAAGGCAGGGGCTGGTAAATGTGACATATTTAGGGACCTTTCCCCACTCTTCATGTTAAGGATCCTATTGTGTGCCTGCAGCTGCTGGTGGGAAGGAGAGGAGGGAAGCCGGCAGCACTACAGGGGGTGGGGGGGCACACAGGGGGGCTTGAGCAGCAATGGGGAAATGTATGGTGTACTAGGAGGTGCTGCAGAGGGAGCCATACAAGGGATCAGTTCCAGTAATGCCCCCCCCCCCCCCCTTGCGCTGTGACGATCACCCTCCCTGCCCACATCCGATTCACCCAGCTGTCTGGGCCCCCTGCTGGTCTGGGCCCTGTACAGGAGGACCAGTATTACCCCCTTATCTACGGCCCTGGGTACAAGGAGGGTTAGTGTTAGGATTACTGGGAGGGTTAATGTTGTGGTTTTAGGGAGAGTTAGTATTAGGGGTACAGCGAGGGATAGTTTTAGGGGTACAGGGAGGGTTAGTATTAGGGGTACAGGGAGGGTTAGTATTAGGGGTACAGGGAGGGTTAGTGTTGGGGTACAGAAAGGGTTAGTATTAGGGGTACAGGGAGGGTTAATTTTAGCGTTTCAGGGAGGGTTAGTGTTTGGGTTACAGGGAGAGTGAGTGTTGGGGTTACGGGGAGGGTTAGTTAGGAGTACAGGGAGGGATAGTATTAGGGGTACAGAGTATTAGGGGTACAGGGAGGGACAGTATTAGGGTTACAGGGAGAGTTATTATTAGGGATACAGAGATGGTTAGTGTTAGGGTTACAGGGAGGGATAGCATTAGGGTTACAGGAAGGGTTAGTGTTAGGGGTTACAGGAAGGGCTAATTTTGGTTAAAGGAAGGGTTAGTGTCAGGATTACAGGGAGAATTAGTGTTGGGGTTACAGGAAGGGTTAGTGTTAGGGGTACAGAGTATTAGGGGTACAAGGAGATTAGGGTTAGAGGGAGGGTTAGTGTTAGGAACACAGGGAGGGTTAGTGTTGGGGTTACAGGGATGGATTGGATTAGGATTACAGGAAGGGTAAGTGTTAGGGGTACAGATTATTAGGGGTGCAGGGAGATTAGGGTTACAGGAAAGTTAGTGTTAGGATTACAGGAAGGGTTAGTGTTAGGGGTACAGAATATTAGGGGTACAGGGAGATTAGAGCTACAGGGAGGGTTAGTGTTGTTGTTACAGGAAGGGTTAGTGTTAGGGGTACAGAGTATTAGGGGTACAGGGAGATTAGTGTTGGGGTTACAGGGAGGGTTAGTGTTAGGATTACAGGGAGGGTTAGTGTTGGGGTTACAGGGAGGGTTAGTGTTAGGATTACAGGGAGGGTTAGTGTTGGGGTTACAGGAAGGGTTAGTGTTAGGGGTACAGAGTATTAGGGGTACAGGGAGATTGGGGTTACAGGGAGGGTTAGTGTTGGGGTTACAATGATGGTTAGTGTTGGGGTTACAGGGAGGGTTAGTGTTGGGATTACAGGGAGGGTTAGTGTTGGGGTCACAGGGAGGGTCAGTGTTGGGATTACAGGGAGGGTTAGTGTTGGGGTTACAGGGAGGGTTAGTATTGGGATTACAGGGAGGGTTAGTATTGGGGTTACTGGGAGGGTTAGTGTTGGGGTTACTGGGAGGGTTAGTGTTGGGGTTACAGGGAGGGTCAGTGTTGGGGTTACATGGAGGGTCAGTGTTGGGGTTACTGGGAGGGTCAGTGTTGGGGTTACAGGGAGGGTCAGTGTTGGGGTTACAGGGAGGGTTAGTGTTGGGGTTACAGAGAGGGTCAGTGTTGGGGTTACTGGGAGGGTTAGTGTTGGGGTTACAGGGAGGGTCAGTGTTGGGGTTACATGGAGGGTCAGTGTTGGGGTTACTGGGAGGGTTAGTGTTGGGGTTACAGGGAGGGTCAGTGGGTTACAGGGAGGGTCAGTGTTGGGGTTACAGGGAGGGGTTGGGGTTACAGGAGGGTCAGTGTTGGGGTTACAGGGAGGGTCAGTGTTGGGGTTACAGGGAGGGTCAGTGTTGGGGTTACAGGGAGGGTCAGTGTTGGGGTTTGGGGTTAGTGTTGGGGAGGGAGGGTCAGTGTTGGGGTTACAGGGACAGTGTTGGGGTTACTGGGAGGGTCAGTGTTGGGGTTACAGGGAGGGTCAGTGTTGGGGTTACAGGGAGGGGTTGGGGTTACAGGGAGGGTCAGTTGGGGTTGGGGTTACAGGGAGGGTCAGTGTTGGGGTTACAGGGAGGGTCAGTGTTGGGGTTACAGGGAGGGTCAGTGTTGGGGTTACGTGGAGGGCCAGTGTTGGGGTTACATGGGGAGGGTTAGTGTTGGGGTTACAGGGAGGGTCAGTGTTGGGGTTACAGGGAGGGTTAGTGTTGGGGTTACATGGAGGGTCAGTGTTGGGGTTACATGGAGGGCCAGTGTTGGGGTTACAGGGAGGGTTAGTGTTGGGGTTACAGGGAGGGTTAGTGTTGGGGTTACAGGGAGGGTCAGTGTTGGGGTTACAGGGAGGGTTAGTGTTGGGGTTACATGGAGGGTCAGTGTTGGGGTTACATGGAGGGCCAGTGTTGGGGTTACAGGGAGGGTTAGTGTTGGGGTTACAGGGAGGGTTAGTGTTGGGGTTACAGGGAGGGTCAGTGTTGGGGTTACATGGAGGGTCAGTGTGGGGTACAGGGGGTTACATACATGGGAGGGTCAGTGTTGGGGTTACATGGAGGGTCAGTGTTGGGGTTACATGGAGGGCCAGTGTTGGGGTTAACTGGAGGATTGGTGCGAGCCATTTTTAAGGTAAAGCATCGCTCTGTCCACCAACACTAAAAGCTAATGTATCAAAAAAATACAAAATAGATTTCAAAACTACACACCACGTGTGCCTCTGATCTGGGACCAGTGAAACCTTCGGCATTCACTTTTTGCTTTTCACTGGCCCTGGGAGCTAACACTCCAAATCCCAAGCACAGGTCACTTGCCTTGAAGTATTTGTTGAGGATTTCGCTGTAGTTGCTGCCCTTGGAGAACCAGCCGTCTGGGATGATCTCAGCCTCCAGCCATTGGATGATGCGTCGGCGCAGCTCATCGCGATCGGCCTGGTAACACACAACTGTGCAGGTAAAGAATGAAGAGTTCATAGAAGTTATTATCCACATTCTCTATAGAGGGAGCAATCATATCATTGTTCACAATGCAACCATGGTTACCTGGGGTCGCGGCGGGGACCTCGGAGCTCTTCTCTGAAAGAAACAGTTATAAGAAATGTTAATAAGTAGAAGGATGAGCTGATCAGCCCGCTGCTTCTCCTTCACTGACTAATCACAGGCTGTGGGAGGGACAGAACCTGTGCAGAGAGAGTGGCAGAGCTGTGCAAATCTCAGGACTGGATGGACAGAAATACAAATTGGCAGATACAACAGTTCCCATCTACAGTTGTGTTCAAAATAATTACAGTGTGTTGAATAAAGTGAATAAAGCTGAAAATCCTTCTAATCCTTTTATTTCCATCCACACAAATGCATTGGGAACACGACACATTCTATTCCAAATCACAACAGGAAGAAAAATACATCAAATTTGTGTTGTTCTTCTAAAAAATTGAAGAAAAGTGAATATTAGACGGTTCAAAAAAATCTCAGTGTTTGTATTCTTCTTTACAAACTCCAACATTCACTATATAAACTGAGAAATGTTTGAAGATTTTGCTTTCCTTTGAATGACTTCATGAATATTTGGTTGTAGTCGCACTGTTTCTGAGAACTGCTGTACATCTGTGTTGCATGGAGTCCCCCAACTTCTGGCCCCTGTGATCAGGTATTCCAGCCCAGGATGATTGGACCACATTCCACAGTTCTTCTCTATTTCTTGGTTTGGCCTCAGAAACGGCATTTTTGATGTCACCCCACAAGTTTTCTATTGGATGAAGATCCGGGGATTGGGCTGGCCACTCCATAACGTCCATCTTGTTGGTCTGGAACCAAGATGTTGCACGTTTACTGGTGTGTTTGGGGTCGTTGTCTTGTTGGAACACCCATTTCAAGGGCATTTCCTCTTCAGCATAAGGCAGCATGACCTCTTCAAGTATTCTGATGGATTCAAACTGATCCATGATCCCTGGTATGCGATAAATAGGCCCAACACCGTAGTATGAGAAACATCCCCATATCATGATGCTTGCACCACCATGCTTCACGGTCTTCACAGTGTACTGTGGCTTGAATTCCGTGTTTGGGGGTCGTCTGACAAACTGTCTCCGCCCACTAGACCCAAAAAGAACAATCTTACTTTCATCAGCCCACAAAATGTTGCACCATTTCTCTTTAGGCCGGTCAATGTGCTCTTTGGCAGATTGTAACCTCTTCAGCACACGTCTTTTTCCCAACAGTGGGACTTTGCGGGGACTTCTTGCAGATAGCTTGGCTTCACATCGGGTCTTCTAATTGTAACAGTCCTCACAGGGAACGTCACACCTTCTTTCATCTTCCTGGAGCTGATTGTTGGCTGGGTCCTCACAGGGAACGTCACACCTTCTTTCATCTTCCTGGAGCTGATTGTTGGCTGAGTCCTCACAGGGAACGTCACACCTTCTTTCATCTTCCTGGAGCTGATTGTTGGCTGAGTCCGCCCCATGTTGGCTATTCTTCTATCCATTCCAATGGTAGTTTTCCCGCTTTCTTCCTCGTCTTTCAGGTTTTGGTTGCCATTTTAAAGCATTTGCCATCATTTTAGCTGAGCAGCCGATCATTTTCTGCACTTCTTTATATGTTTTCTCCTCTCCAATCAACTTTTTAATCGCGGTACGCTGTTCTTCTGAACAATGTCTGGAACGACCCATTTTCCTCAGAATTTCAGAGAGAAATGCACTGTAACCAGCATGTCCAACATTTGCTGCCTTCCTTCCTTAAATAAGGGCAATAATTGCCACCTGTTTATCAAAGAATGAATGACCTCACTAATAGAACTCCACACGGCTATTATATTGAACACGCCCCTCAATGAGTGATTCAATGACACAGAATCAGCAGCATGCATGTCATGACTGTTGGGTCTGTTGGATTTCTATGACTCTACTACACCTGCTAGGAAATTGTTTGCCATGTAGAAATATCATTTCCACCAAAAACAGTGATTGATCCGGTTAGTGATGTCTGATGGCTAGTATTTTGAACACAACTGTATGTACTTTTGATATGTTTGTCTGTTTAGCATTCATCCCTCCCTGCTGTACCTTTGCAGTGACCATCATGGTCCACCTGGATCTTGGAGCCGGTCAGGCAGGCGTCTCGGTGGAGCTCGCAGTGGTTCAGGTAGGTTTTGCCGTTGCTGCCGCAGACGGGTCTTTTGTGGGACTTACATTTCTGGAGGGGGATGGGAAGAAAGCAAGAACTGCAATCAGAGGAACGTCTACAAAATCTACACACCAACCAGCGGCCAAGAATGACTTCCAGAACTACTCCCAACGAGCGACCCGTACAGGAGGACTGAAACCGACAGAAAATGTGATTTACTGACAATCAGCGAGCTGCGGTCCCAAAAATCTGTCATCCATTCAAAATTGCTGTCATCACCATTTCAAATTCTCACCATTGCAGCTCCTGTAATTGGCTTACTGTCTCCCTCGGGAGTCTGCACAGAGCCCAAATTCCAATTACAACCATCACCAGCAAATGAGATTTTTATTTTCTGGGTTACAGCTTTAATTGATGTATGGTGTCATTATGGTGTCATTGTGGTGCATTATGGTGTCACTGTGGTGCATTATGTGTCACTGTGGTGCATTATGGTGTCATTGTGGTGCATTATGGTGTCATTGTGGTGCATTATGGTGTCATTATGGTGTCATTATGGTGTCATTGTGGTGCATTATGGTGTCATTATGGTGCATTATGGTGTCATTGTGGTGTCATTATGGTGTCATTGTGGTGCATTATGGTGTCATTATGGTGCATTGTGGTGCATTATGGTGTCATTGTGGTGCATTATGGTGTCATTGTGGTGCATTATAGTGTATTATGGTGTCATTGTGGTGCATTATGGTGTCATTGTTGCATTATGGTGTCAGTGTCATTGTGGTGCATTATAGTGCATTATGGTGTCATTGTGGTGCATTATGGTGTTATTGTGGCGCATTATGGTGCATTATGGTGTCATTGTGGTGCATTATGGTGTCATTATGGTGTCATTGTGGTGCATTATGGTGTCATTGTCATTGTGGTGTCATTATGGTTTCATTATGGTGTCATTGTGGTGCATTATGGTGTCATTGTGGTGCATTATAGTGCATTATGGTGTCATTGTGGTGCATTATGGTGTCAGTGTCATTGTGGTGCATTATAGTGCATTATGGTGTCATTGTGGTGCATTATGGTGTTATTGTGGTGCATTATATCATTATGGTGTCATTGTGGTGTATTATGGTTCATTATGGTGTCATTGTGGTGCATTATGGTTCATTATGGTGTCATTGTGGTGCATTATAGTGCATTATGGTGTCATTGTGGTGCATTATGGTGTCAGTGTCATTGTGGTGCATTATAGTGCATTATGGTGTCATTGTGGTGCATTATGGTGTTATTGTGGTGCATTATGGTGCATTATGGTGTCATTTTGGTGCATTATAGTTCATTATGGTGTCATTGTGGTGTATTATAGTGCATATAGTTCATTATGGTGTCATTGTGGTGTATTATGGTTCATTATGGTGTCATTGTGGTGTATTATAGTGCATTATAGTTCATTATGGTGTCATTGTGGTGTATTATAGTGCCATTGTGGTGTATTATGGTGTCATTGTGGTGTCATTGTGGTGTATTTATAGTGCATTATAGTGCCCCACTGAGCACTCATTTTGATGGATTTCAGCAACTGCACTAGAATGGCTTTGCTCAGTATCTACATAACAGAAGCGTGTGAGCACCGGCATTGACATTTGCTAAAAGCCTTGCAACTAGAAACCTGTGACAGCCACCTGCAGTGTTGGCGGACTGGTGTCTTCTGCTAGCCATACACTATACATTCCGATTGTACAATCTCCTGTAGATCAATCAACAGCTATGTAATGTAAGCGCCTGGTGTAACCGGACAGAAATCGATTGAATTGGAGAGGTTTGTCAACCTCTGATGTAGAGTAGTTTTGGTAAATGTAGATTTGATTCTACAGGAATTGCACAGATGGTAGTGTGTATGGCCACCCTTACAGTGACCACATACTGTATGACCGGATTGTACAATCTCCTTTAGATTTTTATTTATTTCAGGTACTTATATAGCGCCGTCAATTTACGCAGCACTTTACATACCGTATTTGCCGGCGTATAAGACGACCCCCCTACTTTTCCTGCTAAAATTTAGTGTTTGAGCTATACTCGCCGTATAAGACTACCCCTCAATGCACACCAGTGGCAGGAATAGTGCCCCATCATTGGTGTCATTGGGAGGAATAGTGCCCCATCATTGGTGTCAGTGGCAGGAATAGTGCCCCATCATTGGTGTCAGTGGCAGGAATAGTGCCCCATCATTGGTATCAGTGGGAGGAATAGTGCCCCATCATTGGTGTCAGTGGAGGAATAGTGCCCCATCATTGGTGTCAGTGGCAGGAATAGTGCCCCATCATTGGTATCAGTGGCAGGAATAGTGCCCCATCATTGGTGTCAGTGGGAGGAATAGTGCCCCATCATTGGTGTCAGTGGGAGGAATAGTACCCCATCATTGGTATCAGTGGGAGGAATAGTGCCCCATCATTGGTGTCAGTGGGAGGAATAGTGCCCCATCATTGGTGTCAGTGGGAGGAATAGTGCCCCATCATTGGTATCAGTGGCAGGAATAGTGCCCCATCATTGGTATCAGTGGCAGGAATAGTGCCCCATCATTGGTGTCAGTGGAGGAATAGTGCCCCATCATTGGTGTCAGTGGAGGAATAGTGCCCCATCATTGGTATCAGTGGCAGGAATAGTGCCCCATCATTGGTGTCAGTGGGAGGAATAGTGTCCCATCATTGGTGTCAGTGGGAGGAATAGTGCCCCATCATTGGTGTCAGTGGGAGGAATAGTGCCCCATCATTGGTGTCAGTGGCAGGAATAGTGCCCCATCATTGGTGTCAGTGGGAGGAATAGTGCCCCATCATTGGTGTCAGTGGGAGGAATAGTGCCCCATCATTGGTATCAGTGGGAGGAATAGTGCCCCATCATTGGTATCAGTGGCAGGAATAGTCCCCATCATTGGTATCAGTGGGAGGAATAGTGCCCCATCATTGGTGTCAGTGGGAGGAATAGTGCCCCATCATTGGTGTCAGTGGGAGGAATAGTGCCCCATCATTGGTATCAGTGGCAGGAATAGTGCTCCATCATTGGTATCAGTGGGGGGAATAGTGTCCCATCATTGGTGTCAGTGGGAGGAATAGTGCCCCATCATTGGTGTCAGTGGGAGGAATAGTGCCCCATCATTGGTATCAGTGGGAGGAATAGTGTCCCATCATTGGTATCAGTGGGAGGAATAGTGTCCCATCATTGGTGTCAGTGGGAGGAATAGTGCCCCATCATTGGTGTCAGTGGGAGGAATAGTGTCCCATCATTGGTGTCAGTGGGAGGAATAGTGCCCCATCATTGGTGTCAGTGGGAGGAATAGTGCCCCATCATTGGTATCAGTGGGAGGAATAGTGCCCCATCATTGGTATCAGTGGGAGGAATAGTGCCCCATCATTGGTGTCAGTGGGAGGAATAGTGCCCCATCATTGGTGTCAGTGGGAGGAATAGTGTCCCAACATTGGTGTCAGTGGGAGGAATGGTGTGCCCCATCATTGGTGTCAGTGGGAGGAATAGTGTCCCATCATTGGTGTCAGGGGGGTGGAATAGTGCCCCATCATTGGTGTCAGTGGGGGGGGGGGAATAGTGCCCCATCATTGGTGTCAGTGGGGGGGGAAGGAATAGTGCCCCATCATTGGTGTCAGTGGGAGGAATAGTGCCCCATCATTGGTGTCAGTGGGAGGAATAGTGCCCCATCATTGGTGTCAGTGGGAGGAATAGTGTCCCATCATTGGTGTCAGTGGGAGGAATAGTGCCCCATCATTGGTGTCAGTGGGAGGAATAGTGCCCCATCATTGGTGTCAGTGGAGGAATAGTGCCCCATCATTGGTGTCAGTGGGAGGAATAGTGCCCCATCATTGGTGTCAGTGGGAGGAATAGTGCCCCATCATTGGTGTCAGTGGAGGAATAATGCCCCATCATTGGTATCAGTGGCAGGTGTTCCCCATCATTGGTATCAGTGGGAGGAATAGTGCCCCATCATTGGTGTCAGTGGGAGGAATAGTGCCCCATCATTGGGTATCAGTGGAGGAATAGTGCCCCATCATTGGTATCAGTGGGCAGGAATAGTGCTCCCATCATTGGTATCAGTGGGAGGAATAGTGTCCCATCATTGGTGTCAGTGGGGAGGAATAGTGCCCCATCATTGGTGTCAGTGGGGGAATAGTGCCCCATCATTGGTATCAGTGGGAGGAATAGTGTCCCCATCATTGGTATCAGTGGGAGGAATAGTGTCCCATCATTGGTGGGGGAGGAATAGTGTCCCATCATTGGTGTCAGTGGGAGGAATAGTGTCCCATCATTGGTGTCAGTGGGAGGAATAGTGCCCCATCATTGGTGTCAGTGGGAGGAATAGTGGGTGGGAGGAATAGTGTCCCCCATCAGTTGGTGTACCCCCCCCCCATCATTGGGGTGGGAGGAATAGTGCCCCATCATTGGTGTCAGTGGGAGGAATGGTGCCCCAATCATTGGTGTCAGTGGGAGGAATGGTGGGGTGTCAGTGGGAGGAATAGTGTCCCATCGTTGGTGTCAGTGGGGGGGGGTGGAATAGTGCCCATCATTGGTGTCAGTGGGGGGGGGGGAATAGTGCCCCATCATGTCAGTGGGGGGAGGAATAGTGCCCCATCGTTGGTGTCAGTGGGAGGAATAGTGCCCCATCGTTGGTGTCAGTGGGAGGAATAGTGCCCCATCATTGGTGTCAGTGGGAGGAATAGTGCCCCATCATTGGTGTCAGTGGGAGGAATAGTGCCCCATCGTTGGTGTCAGTGGGAGGAATAGTGCCCCATCGTTGGTGTCAGTGGGAGGAATAGTGCCCCATCATTGGTGTCAGTGGGAGGAATAGTGCCCCATCATTGGTATCAGTGGGAGGAATAGTGCTCCATCATTGGTATCAGTGACACCAATGATGGGGCACTATTCCTCCCACTGACACTTGCTGACCCTGTTCTCGTATGGTGCTGCTGCAGCCAGCATATGTGGTTGCAGCAGCACCTCTACACTGACCACTTACCTGCTGGTCCTGCACTCGATTTTCGCGGGGCCGCTCGGCTCCACCCCCTCGCCGGTGATTGGCCGCCTGTGTGCCTTTCCTGAGCTACAGTTCTGGCGGCCAATCACTGGTGAGGAGGCGGAGCCGAGCAGCCGCACGAACATCCAGTGGCCGAACTGAAGGCGCAGCCGCGCTTCCTGGACCGGATCGTCGTGGGACCGGAACCAGGTAAGAAACAGCCGCTGCCCACCCCTGTACTTAGTGTCCCTTCCATTGGGGGAAGGGGGGGGGGGGGGGCGGCGGCGGCAACGCGCCACCCCCCTAAAAAGTGTCAGTATGCCGTATACCGGCGTATAAGACGACCCCCGACTTTTGAGAAGATTTCCAAGGGGTAAAAAGTCGTCTTATACGCCGGCAAATACGGTATATATTGTACATTCACATCAGTCCCCGAAGAGCGTACAATCTAAGGTCCCTAACTCACATTCATACATACACATACTAGGGACAATTTAGACAGGATCCAATTCACCTCCCAGCATGTCTTTGGAGTGTGGGAGGAAACCGGAGTACCCAGAGGAAACCCACGCAGGCACAGGGAGAACATGCAAACTCCAGGCAGGTGGTGCCATGGTTGGGATTTGAACCGACGACCCGAGTACTGCCAGGCAGAAGTGCTAACCACTCAGCCACCGTGCTGCCCAGATCTCCCATTATCTATGCAGTACAAGGACCTGCCTGATTGGATACAAACTAAAAGTATTGTTTGGGCTTGTCCTTGTATTTGAAGCATTTTGGTAAATGTAACGCCCCTTTCACACGAGTGGGTCAATGGGGTCCGCCCAGGGGCAGACTGACCATTTGGAAACTCGGGCAGTGCCCAAGGGCCCGGGGTCAGTAGGGGGCCCCATGAGATGCCCCTGGTACCTTTTTCATAGGCTTTTTTGAGTTTGAGCAAGGACACAGGGGCCCCATGATCCCCTACTGCCCGGGGGCCCTATGAGTTGTCAGTCCGCCCCTGGGTCCGCCTGTACGTTTTTCAGGAGGACCTGATCGGTCCATCCGTAGACTTCTATGGACCGGCGCAGGGGCGGACTGACCATTTGAGCCCTCGGACGCCGCCCGAGGGCCCGGGGTCAGTAGGGGGCCCCATGAAATGCCCCTGGTACTTTTATAGGCTTTTTTCGGTGTGCTTTGAGTGTGGGCGAGGACACAGGGGCCCCATGATCCCCTATTGCCCGGGGGCCCCATGAGTTGTCAGTCCACCCCTTGACTGGCGGGTGTCAGCGGACAATAGTTCGTTGACACCCACTGGTATCCAATCCAATCCTGTACACTAAAAACAGACAGATCGGTTCTCCATGCGTCCAGCAGATGGGATTGGATGACAATCGGGTGGAATCGTTCGTCCGTTTCCATCTGGCCGTCCCATTGAAATGAGTGGGCAGTGTCGGTGTCTGCAGCACAGAGTGGGCAGAGATCTGTCATCCGCCTGATCATCAGAGAGAACCCCCGCTGAGCAGGACCATCATGCTGACGGATCCGCCCCGTCTGAAGGCGCCTATATAGGAGGGATGTCTAGAAATTGTACAATCAGATTGTACGGTTCACTGAATCTGGTGATGTATCTGCTGGATGTCGTCCTCTCACCTCAATACACAGACAGGTGGGGTCTCCCTTCTCCGTGACGGCGCACTCCCGGCCGGCTCCACAGAACACATTGGCGCACACCTTGGATTTGCTCTTCGGCTCTTCCTGATGGGAGAGAAGAACACAGATGGTGAGACTACGGTATATGTCAGAGAATATATATATATAATAATGGGGTGTGACGGGGGGAGGGGATATTAGAGTGTAAGCTCCTCTGGTACAGAGACTGATGTGACTGTGGGGGAGGGGACATCAGAGTGTAAGCTCCTCTGGTACAGAGACTGATGGGACTGTGGGGGAGGGGACATTAGAGTGTAAGCTCCTATGGTACAGGGACTGATGTGACTGTGGGGGAGGGTACATTAGAGTGTAAGCTCCTCTGTTACAGAGACTGATGGGACTGTGGGGGGAGGGGACATTAGAGCGTAAGCTCCTCTGGTACAGAGACTGATGTGACTGTGGGGGAGGGGACATTAGAGCGTAAGCTCCTCTGGTACAGAGACTGATGGGACTGGGGGGAGGGGACATTAGAGCGTAAGCTCCTCTGGTACAGAGACTGATGGGACTGTGGGGGAGGGGACATTAGAGTGTAAGCTCCTATGGTACAGGGACTGATGTGACTGTGGGGGAGGGGACATTAGAGTGTAAGCTCCTATGGTACAGGGACTGATGTGACTGTGGGGGAGGGGACATTAGAGTGTAAGCTCCTATGGTACAGGGACTGATGTGACTGTGGGGGGGGAGGGGACATTAGAGTGTAAGCTCCTATGGTACAGGGACTGATGTGACTGTGGGGGAGGGGACATTAGAGCATAAGCTCCTCTGGTACAGAGACTGATGGGACTGCGGGGGAGGGGACATTAGAGTGTAAGCTCCTATGGTACAGGGACTGATGTGACTGTGGGGGAGGGGACATTAGAGTGTAAGCTCCTCTGGTACAGAGACTGATGTAACTGTGGGGGAGGGGACATTAGAGTGTAAGCTCCTCTGGTACAGAGCCAGTGACTGGCTCAGTGTTCTCTGTACAGCCACCCTGACAGGTCCTCTTTAATGTGAAATGATCAGGCTTCCAGGTTCAGACAATGAGGATCTGCAGTGTTCAGCAGGCCTGGCAGTGATATGTTATCTGCAGGTTTATAGCTCTGTAATTACTCTGATATATTTGGCTACACGGACTGTACATGGTGTTCTGGGACCTGTGTCAGTTCTCGGAATTCCTGCGGATAACTTATCGCTCTGAAGGAACATCTTCCCAGTTAATGGACTATATTTGTGATATCAGACTTGTGCAACACTAGAGTGGCTGTGGTGTGATACTCAAGATGGCCAGCATGTGGCAGCAGTGAGCCACTGAAAAGAAAAGGCCTGTCTGTAAAAAGAAGGGAGGGAATGTCTGACCTCATCTAAACTTAAGAAAAAAAACTTTTCTGAAGCTCTGGGAAAAGCAATGAAAGATATTCAACTGTTCTCTCACCAACATTCAATATATTTGATAAAATGAATACAAATCCAGCAGGGATGGTGGGAACCCCTCATAATGGGCACAGCGGGTGTACAGACCCGGGAACTCAGCACAGGGATGGTGGGAACCCCTCATAATGGGCACAGCGGGTGTACAGACCCGGGAACTCAGCACAGGGATGGTGGGAACCCCTCATCATGGGCACAGCGGGTGTACAGACCCGGGAACTCAGCACAGGGATAATGGGAACCCCCCCCTCATCATGGGCACAGCGGGTGTACAGACCCGGGAACTCAGCACAGGGATGGTGGGAACCCCTCATAATGAGCACAGTGGGTGTACAGACCCGGGAACTCAATGCAGGAGTGCTGGGATCCCTCTATAATGAAAACTTGGCAGAGGTTCTAATACTCCATCCAAACTGGAAAAATACAGAAATACTTGATCCCTGATATCCTGGGAGGAGGATGATGGAATCAGTTCAGGAACAGACTGATACTTTGTACCAGGGGTGGACTGACAACTCATGGGGCCCCCAGGCAATAGGGGATCATGGGGCCCCTGTGTCCTTTCCAAACTCAAAAAAGCCTATGAAAAAGGTACCAGGGGCATCTCATGGGGCCCCCTACTGACCCCGGGCCCTCGGGCAGTGCCCAAGCTTCCAAATGGTCAGTCCGCCCCTGCTTTGTAAAATTCCTTTTGACTTTTTATTTCCTGAGCTCCACAGACCAGCTTTCTGTCCTCACATCGTTTATGTGGGTGAATGTCTGGAGAATTGGGGGCGCTCCCTGTACATGGGTTGATGATTGGGGGTGCTCCCTGTACATGGTTTGGTGATTGGGGGCGCTCCCTGTACATGGGTTGATGATTGGGTGCGCTCCCTGTACATGGGTTGATGATTGGGGGCGCTCCCTGTACATGGGTTGATGATTGGGGGCGCTCCCTGTACAAGGTTTGGTGATCGGGGGCGCTCCCTGTACATGGTTGATGATTGGGGGGATGATTGGGGGCGCTCCCTGTACATGGTTTGGTGATTGGGGGGCGCTCCCTGTACATGGGTTGATGATCGGGGGTGCTCCCTGTACATAGGTTGATGATTGGGTGCGCTCCCTGTACACGGGCTGATGATTGGGGGCGCTCCCTGTACACGGGTTGATGATTGGGGGCGCTCCCTGTACATGGGTTGATGATTGGGGGCGCTCCCTGTACATGGGTTGATGATTGGGGGCGCTCCCTGTACATGGGTTGATGATTGGGGGGCGCTCCCTGTACATGGTTTGGTGATCGGGGGCGCTCCCTGTACATGGGTTGATGATCGGGGGCGCTCCCTGTACACGGGTTGATGATTGGGGGCGCTCCCTGTACATGGGTTGATGATTGGGGGCGCTCCCTGTACATGGGTTGATGATTGGGGGCGCTCCTGTACATGGGTTGATGATTGGGGGTGCTCCCTGTACATGGGTTGATGATTGGGGGCGCTCCTGTACATGGGTTGATGATTGGGGGCGCTCCCTGTACATGGGTTGATGATTGGGGGCGCTCCTGTACATGGGTTGATGATTGGGGGCGCTCCCTGTACATGGGTTGATGATCGGGGGCGCTCCCTGTACATGGGTTGATGATCGGGGGCGCTCCCTGTACATGGGTTGATGAGGACCATGTAGGGAATAGAAGCATGCAGCTGGAATGTATGGAAGTGAGAGAATTGGACGCCCTGTAGGAGGCGGGGCCAGCGACAGCTCCAAAACTTCCCTCCATACTATAATGGGTTCCAGCTGCAACTTCACCTCTGGAGCAAGCAGACGTGGACCAATCACAGAGCTCCCTCTCTCCTTTAACTAGCCAATCAGAGGCTGCCAGGTACAGCTGCTGCACTCACTATACAGAGAGTAAGTGGGGGGGGGGAGGGGGGATTAACCCTTTCTCCGCTATCACTGAGTCTGGGGCCCGCCAGGACTGGGTGTAACGTGTGCACAAAGGATGATGTAAAACAACAAACCACTAAAAAGTCATTTTCAGCCAGATATGGGAAAACGTTTTCCAGCACGAGATTTGGTTAAATGGATACAAAACGTGCCACGAAGATACATTAGAGATCATGAAAGTTCATTTTGTGGATTGCTGAGAACAAGATCGATTGTGGTCAGGCGTGATGGGATTGGTCACTAGGGCCAGTATCAGTGAAAATGGGCGCTCATTGATTGAATCAGCTACAAATCAGCAAACGATTATTGAATGAATTGGCCACAAAAAGGCAAATGATTTCTGAACCACGCACGTTTTCTTTTGAAACAATCGCTGTATTGAACGACCAAATCGCTATGTGTATGACCAGCGCTAGACGATCATTCAGCGAATGATATACAGAAAATAAATGCTGCTGAGATCCACACTTCCCACTGAAGAACGCGGGGGTGACCTGGACTCATCTGGGCAAACATGCTTTAGAAATGCAGCGAATTTAGTGATCCCTCAGATTAGTAACCCTGACAACAATGATCTAGGCAGGGCAGAATTCCACCAATGTAAGGGACATTCTTCCCACTGACCACCAATGTAAGGGACATTCTTCCCACTGACCCCCCCAATGTAAGGGACATTCTTCCCACTGACCCCCAATGTAAGGGACATTCTTCCCACTGACCCCCAATGTAAGGGACATTCTTCCCACTGATCTCCCAATGTAAGGGACATTCTTCCCACTGACCCCCAATGTAAGGGACATTCTTCCCACTGACCCCCAATGTAAGGGACATTCTTCCCACTGACCCCCCAATGTAAGGGACATTCTTCCCACTGACCACCAATGTAAGGGACATTCTTCCCACCGACCCCCAATGTAAGGGACATTCTTCCCACTGACCACCAATGTAAGGGACATTCTTCCCACCTGATCCCCAATGTAAGGGACATTCTTCCCACCGACCCCCAATGTAAGGGACATTCTTCCCACTGACCACCAATGTAAGGGACATTCTTCCCACTGACCCCCAATGTAAGGGACATTCTTCCCACTGACCCCAATGTAAGGGACATTCTTCCCACTGACCCCCAATGTAAGGGACATTCTTCCCCCTGACCCCCAATGTAAGGGACATTCTTCCCACTGACCCCCAATGTAAGGGACATTCTTCCCACTGATCACCAATGTAAGGGACATTCTTCCCACTGACCCCCAATGTAAGGGACATTCTTCCCACTGACCCCCCAATGTAAGGGACATTCTTCCCACTGACCCCCAATGTAAGGGACATTCTTCCCACTGACCACCAATGTAAGGGACATTCTTCCCACTGATCACCAATGTAAGGGACATTCTTCTCACTGACCCCCAATGTAAGGGACATTCTTCCCACTGACCCCCAATGTAAGGGACATTCTTCCCACTGACCCCCAATGTAAGGGACATTCTTCCCACTGATCACCAATGTAAGGGACATTCTTCCCACTGATCACCAATGTAAGGACATTCTTCCCACTGACCCCCAATGTAAGGGACATTCTTCCCACTGACCCCCAATGTAAGGGACATTCTTCCCACTGACCACCAATTAAGGGACATTCTTCCCACTGACCACCAATGTAAGGGACATTCTTCCCACTGACCACCAATGTAAGGGACATTCTCTCCCACTGACCCCCAATGTAAGGGACA